AGATTCCAAAAACATGTAGTCTGTGTTTTGTGGAATTGATTCAGTGGGTCTTCACACAGGTAAAATAATGTAACCAATCAATGTTTAGCAGATCAACATTTAGTCTAGTCTCATTAATGAAAAAAAGCAGGTTCCATTAATATATACCATTCTAAACATCTACCATTTTCACTTACAATCATAGTTGTCGTCCTCTTTTGAGAAGCACTCTTTGAACAGGCAAAGCATGGTCCGATAACAGTTGTCCAGTATTGACTTGGGTGTAACAGACTTCCATCCCTCATAAGATGGGTCCGTCAAGCGATACCAGATGTTTAGTATTCTCTCTGGAAGTTCTCTCTTTTTTGAAACAGGTACAAAGACACACACACACACATTTAGATTATTATGAACTTAAATAATGGAAATATATCACTCAAATAACAAATAACATCTGCAACACAGACTGGACAGATTTAAAAGATCAAATTGAGTTTAGAGATTCTTTCATTAAAACTAATGCTTGTATTCAAAAGGAGAACGATTGTTTGAGAGTTAGCTTAGAGATACTGTGAGCAGTGGCAATGACAGCCAGAATGATTTATAATGTGCTGCTGTTGAGAAAAGTGAAATCACATCATTGTTCTAACCTCTTCATCTTTGGGATTCCGTTGGTTATAAAGCGCCTCAAAATCTCTGAAGAGATTCTCCAGATTGGAGAGGTATTTATGGCGTGTAGGGTGTCTCTCTGGTAGCACCCTTAAAACCCTCTTTATACCCCGCTGACTAACCCAAAGCCACAAGTCCTGTAAATCTCTCTTCAGCACTGGCTCCTCTTCATTACTCATATTCTAGAGAACAGAGTGAGAGATAAACAAGATAAGAAAGAAGGAATGAGAAGAAGAGATACAGTAATGAGGAAAATCTTCAGTTATGGTTGTGATTTATAGCCATGTATTCTTGATGAGTCTCGTAATGTTAGTTAGGTCTAAGGTAGGTCAAAGGTTTTATGCCAGGTTAGATCAAATTCAGTTCAGTTACCAGATAACAGGAACAAAATGATATCATTTTCCAAATGGTTTGTATATTCCCTCTTTTTTAATAGCAGTATACAATATAACATGGGGAGTTAATAACTTATTGAACTGACCATTTACAGTTCAATAAGTCTGACTGTATGAGTTTCTTATATTCTGTTCATTAACTCCATTATAAAGTAAATTAAAAAAAATCTAGGTCTTCTTCTATCACATATATGTTGTTTGATATATCTCTAACTGTTCTTTCATCCATTTTTATATAATACTATAATACAATAATTTACTGTATTATGAATTGCTGTATTTTTTAATCTTATTATTATTTTTTATATATATATATATAGGTGATCTAGATATGTCTGAACAGGTTTTGTGAGATTCACCCCTGTATTTTGAGTCATAGGCCCTGAGAAGCCCTAAAACTGTGATTCCAGTCTGACTCTATCGTAAGTCACAAGTCTGAAATATTTGGCAATAGGTGTCAAACAGGAAAAATTTGTTAATTTGTGTGGGAAGTTGTGAAGAGTGTGGCTTTAAGTAATGTAAAGTGAGTCGGAGGGACAGTGTCAGTGGGATAAAGACTTACCAGTCTGCTGATGTTACGTAGTCTGAACACCTCCTCATAATGCACTTGAATAGTATAGTTAATGGGAAAGTTCATTTTCTGTAAATATACATGTAAAACCTTTTATTGGCATGTCGTTAATTCGTGTCTCATGCTACACATTTATATTACTATTAAGTTGTATATTTTCTTCTTTTTATTTCTGTTCTAAATATCTTTCCATGTAAACTTTACAGAGTTTACAACTGTCATTTTTCAGAATATAACACCATCATTTCAAAAATATACATCTGTTTACCATAAAACGTCTCCTTAGGCTTAAATTTAGGCTCTCCCGTACTGTTTTCAGAGGTACACAGAGATCTGTTGCTGCACTCATGCACATTGGTAATAGACAAATAAAACCTAGAAGGACAGAATAAGAAAATTATGGCTTTTAACATAATGTCATTGCCTATAATTAAACCATCAAGAAATGGTTGCTGGTTTGCACTTAAACATCACATCAAAATATGCAATTTTAAAACGCATTCAACATCCTTTAATACAAAACTTCAAATGATTTTATCGGTAATTAAAAGGCTTGTGCCTTGCCTAGTATCAATACAAATCTTTGTTTTAAATTTATTCATAAACGTTTTGAAGATGGAGTATATATTTCAATTTAGTAATATTAATGTCACTTAGATTTTTTTTGCTGGCTTTTCTGCAGTATGTCACATAAACTGGTGTGAAGGTGTCTTTGAGGGCAATGACACATAAAGTGTCAAAGTTGGTACTGTAACAAGACGCAAACCTCAAACCACAGCCCAACTTACTAGGATTTTTTTTTGTTTAACACACTTGAGCACTGCTGCAAAAGAAAATCTTTAAACATCTTCCAACAAAAAAACACAACCAGGCAAAAGACAAAAGCTGAATGAAAATTTGCAAGCCATAATTCCACAACACAAGAGCTTCTGCAGTCTACATGTTGTCAAAAGCAGAAGGCATAATATGCATGAGATGATCATACAGTGCATATGGGAGATAAAGTCAAACTCAAGCAGATTAACCGTGGTAGTAAACCTGAGGCTGATCATGTGTCTATTTCAACTCAAACTTTTATTATTAAAGATAAGTGATTCTGACTGGCTAGCCCAGGACGGAAAGACATGGCACCGGCAGTCATCTGTCACTTTGCTGTGGATCACAGTGCGGTTGGCCTCTGTGGTTGAGTTGCACTATAGGGCAGTTACCCAGAGACTGACAGTCAGCAAAGTCTCAGAGACCATGAAGTAGACTTCCGAGGGCCAGAGGAATTTGTCATGCCACAGAACCTGGGCTATTTACTGGTGTTCAACCACTCAACCCCCTCATCACATCTAAGTTATTCTGGCTTTTTTGGCCTGGTATCCCCCTCCTTGCCCTCTCTTTTACCTTATGCATCTGTCAGTCTCCGCTCACTCTTTCTCGCTCTCTCTCTCTCTCCTGAACACAGGAAGTGGTGACATTAGCAGTCACGTCTTAGTCCTTCAATAGAAGTGGCATATGCAGTAGCTCTCCGCAAACATATGTTCAGTTTGACACTCATTTCAGAAGAAGCAAGAGACCAGATATGCACATTTTAAAACCACACACTCAGTCTTAGTAAACTATTTCCTAATCTAGCTCACATAATCACCCACAGAAATTCTCAGACATTTGTTTTTGCGTGAATGCACAAGAGCCTCTTTCCTGTTAGCTGAGGAAGTAATCAATCATTTGATGTTTTTCTGCAGGGCCACTGAAAAAATATTTATGTCTAGTACTGTCACATCCAAATTTCCCACATGAAGATCTTCAGTATCCTCTTGGCACGATTCCTTGCATTATACAACTTAAATCACTTAATTACTAGACTTTACTTACCCAGCAGCCCCCTGAGGAGCCAGCATTCAGACTGGACCATGGTTCTGCTTATACTCTGCTTGCACTGTAATATGGGTCGAAATTCCAGAAAATTCTTCTGACTTCTTGGTCTATAAAAAAAACAAACGGAATAGAGTCAGAGCAAATATCACACCATACTGAACACCAGTTTCTGACCTTGCCATTACATGACTTTCTGTGCACATCACTGCCTTCCTAAAAGAGAACCAGTGATGAAACATCTGAATTCATTTACTCTCGTTTTGGATTGTAAAATATTTAAATATCGAAAAAGACTGATCTGGCATATCTGATTTTAATGGCACATCCGATTTTTTAAAAAAAGTAGCAAAAACTCAGTGAAGCAGGTAATGGGAACGCTTCTCATCTGAAGGGCTGGAGCTCTGTCATAATGTTCTGTTTTTCAGCTGCGTAAAACAAATCCAGATGTTGTCTCTTTTCGCTTCTTTCAAAAGGAAAAATAAAAATTCCTTGTAATCCTAAAGGGAATATAATAACGTCTTGACACAGACAGCAAGTTTCTGACTAATTGCCATGTGATGAACATGTGGAGCAGAATGTACATTTAAATTTTTGTGGCTTTATCAGAAATGCCTTTATATTATTTTCAGGAAAAATTATATTTACATATAATAAAAATGTGGATGTGTAAAGTAGAACCACATCCAAGAAGAATCTATGAAGTACTGAATACAAGCCAGAACAAATCATATCCTTTATGTAACTTCATCTTAAATCTGACATAATATTTTAACTATTATTTTTTTTATTTCACAATCAGTTCATTTTCTCTGCATGGATCAAAACCCCATCTAAAAGATCTGTTTGATTTTTCTCTTATAATCTAATGCAGATTTTGACAAATGTGGGATGAGGCCAATGGGACTTTTGAGAAAAAGACAGATTGCATATGCATACAGACATTTCATGCTGTTTTTTCATATAGTGCTGTTCATTTAAGCCAGCTTTTTATTAGTATATTTACCATTTTACATGTGCATTGATTGCCAAATAAGGCCAATATTCTGGTTATGCCTTTAGAACAAACTTCTGGAAATACTAGATGCCAAATCATTAATTCTTATTCATGTTTTTACAATATACAAAATTTTAATAGCGAAAGGTGCATCATGATGTTTCTTTTAATTTCAGTACAATGTTATACAGTACACACACACACAAAATTATTTTATACAACATAACTTTGCTCACTCTATCCAATATCACCTAGGACACTTAAACATGCACAGAAATAAATGAATGTTCAGTTTGAATAGTGGATCTATTGTCAGCATGAACTAAAATTCTGATTATTTCATCCACTGGCTTATTCGGATTTAGAAAATGGAATAGTGGCTTAATTTATGGCAGTCAAGTTAAGACATTTATATGACGCTTAAGAAGAAGATGATGAAGAAGAAGATATAATAAGAACATAAGAATATGACCAAATTCTGATTAATATCAGAGAAATTCTGATTTAAAAATTCTGATTAATATCTTAGATATGATTAATATCAGAATGATCTTGTGCATGTAAACGCAATGAATTACTGAGGTTCAAAAATGAAAAGAGCAAAAATAAGAAAATCTGTAACAATAATACAAAAGTATATAAAATGTAAAACAATGAAAGTATCATTAAAACAATACATCATACATCATGAATGCAAAGACATTTCATAAATGATGGTTATAGCATTCATATGCATGCAATCGATTTATCGACATAAAAATGTTGATTTATCAATTAAATTTTGGTGTCAGAACATGTTGAAAATTCACCTGTTATCTAACCAAATCAAATCAAAAGCGATCTGTCAGGTGATCGCGCTGGATCGTTGCACCTTTTCTTAGGTATGAAACGCGTTGTTGGGATTAATTCCAATATAAAACGCATTTACACGCAACACAATTCAGCAGCACAACGAATATAAACAAGCCACAAACCTTTCGATTCGATGGTGACATAGGTTATCTCATCGGGAAACCATCTGAGTACTTCCAATAAACAGCAGTTGTTTGCTTAACCCTGTAGATATGACCGCTGACACTTCCAGACATGCAGAATACTAAAAGTAGTAAATTCGCCCCTTTTTCAATGCAACGTCCAAGCGAATGACTCGGAAACTCCCTTTTCTGTATGTCACCTCTTTATGTTAAGTCTATATAACGTTACACCCGCCTACAGCCTTCTCCACTCTAAAGTACCACGAGAAGAACACGCTGAGTAAAGAGCCACAGTCGATGAGACTGTTACTTTCACTTTTGGGTCTACATAAACTATGAACTCATCAGTGATTGGGTTTGAAAAAAGGTTCAGCCTTCCTGAACTAAAACACGAAGAAACTGTATATGGTGCCTTTGTATGGCCGCTCAACCAATTATAGAGAGCTTGACCCCCCTAATTAAAGTTTGAAATGTTGGGGGTCTTAAAAGTATTTTTACACAAGTAAATACGTTTCAACAGCGTTTTCGAACATTTCATATAATGTTAGGCTATTCAAAATAGTTAAATTTGCTAAATTTGTAGCAACATCTCGATCGTCTGTAGCGGTCGGTATATTTAAACATATCTACTGCCATTATCACGTTATAATATAATTAAGTCACAAAAATTAAATGAAATTATCATATTTTGTTAAACATTTATTTCATAAAGTTTAAATTAAGTAGACAAGACAAACACCAATGGACTGTGCACAGAAAAAAATACCCAACGAAGTCAATAATGCTTATACTGCACTAAACCTCTGCAGTTTTACAATATTAAGGATGACCACAAAATTGACACCAGCCAAAAATTGGTTCACCAAAACTATTACCGATGAACCATCAACGCCTTCAGTAAATGAGTATGGTTCAAGCAGATCCAGTGTGTCTACTTTTCCCAATTTCCCTGTAGACCTCATTCACCCATTACATTACTAATTTATTCCCTACATTTACTGTGGTTCTGTGGTGACAGGCTTGGCACAATTGGACACTTTTAGGAATTTCATGACAAAATGTTTTTTCGGACTCTGAAGTGCCTCATCTCGCAACACAATGGACAATGGGCATATGGGTGACCAACGCACACTGCACACTGCTTTGAGCGTAGGATTGCTTTGTCAATGGCTACAATGGCCCCCTTGTTTTGTAGTACCTATAACCTCTTTTTAGGGGCATAAGCACTTGAAGATAGTGCTATCTATGCGGTCTTAACAAAGGCCAGAGCCACTCAAGACCCAAGACAAGCGAAAGGGACATTCCGAGTCCCCCAACCAGCCATTAAAAAAAAAAAAAAAACTAGTTAAAACACCATCTGTCAGCCGAGATTATATCACATCAATATGGAAACCTCCCAAAGGAAGAAGAGTGAAAGAAAACTTCACCAGGTTATAAACACCCTCCACAATCCCTCAACCTACTTTATTAACCTGATAGGACTTTTTTTTTTTTTTTTATTCTTTCCCAGTGCATTCTTCCCCACATCCTTACCAGCACATTCTTGGGGTACTAGAGTTATCCAACCATCCAGGCTTGGATTTGGTGACATGAGGATCCAGGATTTAGATTACAAATTACAATAATCATGCTAACAACAATCATAGCCTTCTGTTAGCAGAGTCAGAAGCAATTTGAGGTTTCTGCAATAGTACAATTTTACATCCGAGAGATCATAAAACTATTGACTATAGATGCACACCGGACTGGAACAGGCTCACAGCATATATCTCGTGTCAAGTAGACTTGCAAACATTGTGGCCTTCCTCATATTGCTCAATTTTCTAACTCTATTCCACAGCATGACTTTGCAAGAATTTGGGTAACTCAAGAAAAACTTCATGAATTCTTTATATTAAGGGTGCAGTTAAAGTGATAACTGGACTGTAGGGGGAACGTGGTAGAAAATAGGTGTTCATTTCATTAACATTGTGGGTTTTAGTGTGACCAGGATGTGACTCACTCTAATGGAATACTTATTATAGTCTGTCTTCACTTTCGTCATGCTCCACTGACTGAAGTAATTAAAATTTTAAAAATGACAAGAGAATGATTTATGAAATGGAATCCTTGTCGCCAAAAATAGTGATTTGCATTATGTTTGAACTACTGCTGTAATACAATAAAAAAAACATTACAAATTCAGTCCTGTGACAATGGAGAACTTGCATCATTCTGGATTTTAGAAAGAACATCAACATTTGGTACCTATTTTGGTATTGTCAATACTAGTTTAACTTAGCGGTCTCTTTAGCCCATGGCAGTAGTCAACCTAAAGTGAAAATATCAAGAGATCACTCTATATACACATTACACTAGCAGTGTTGGACAGTCATCTCAAGTCTCTAAAGGACTTTTCAAATCAACAAAAATTAAGTAGGTTGTCAGGTCAAGTGCAATCAGATAGCAAAATATAAAAAACCCACTCTTAATATTTGCTGAAATAAATGAGAAAAAGCCTATTAACTCACTAAGACTGAACAATTTTAAGGCATCAAACAATGACTCGTTGTCATGAGAAAGATGCACAATCATTATGGGGCTTCCACCAAGAAGAAAAACAAAAAAAGGCTTAAGAAAACCTGCTTTGCCTGTGGGCTGTTAAAGACAAACAGCAAGTCTCGACAAACACAGAAATACACGAGAACGTAAAAAACGTTTATTTAAAATTTTTCTCACACTGCGTGACAAACAGCACTATTTCTTTCAGATTTTCTGGGTTTGGATGATTATAGCCCCCACCACCCAAAAAAAAGTTAAAAACCACAACAGATTTGCTGTATCCATGTAGAGACAAAAACTAAAGCTATTTTACAATTTACTGTTTTTACAAGAGTGGGAACCGCTTTCACTTTCAAAAGAGACAATTTAAATAGCCAAAACGTGAATGATAGAATGTTTTATGCAGACCGATTCATACAATAAAATGTGGATTTAATGTAATTTTTCAAGTCTACACATATAAAAGCCACTCCTGTATACAAGCTGATGTAGTCCTTTGCATGAAAACATTCCTCCTAAAATATTTGTCACTATGCAACCACTCAGTATGAACTAAATAAAACTGAGATGCTTTGTACGGAGTACAGAACCAACAGTCATTTCAAACAGGACAAGGTCACTGACCACTGGGACTGTGACAACTCCCAGCTGGCCTCAGTTAAAGGGGGGACTTCCTTCAGCTGTCACCAAAATGTTGCTCCTATACTTGTGGTAGGAAAGTTGAGACCACAGCCATGGGAAGCCTGGAAAAACAATTGATTTTCTCATGGTGTGCCTGCCAGATGTGAAGACACTAGAAGGCATAGTGTGTTCGGATGTCTTCCAGTTTCTTCCGACACCTCTGGAGGCGTGCTGTCCAATTCCTCAGAGACACTCTTCTGCTTATGGAGCTCCATGGAGTTAAACTGCTCACAAAGGTCTCCATCGATCACATTCTGGAAGCATACAAGCAAAGTCAGTGAGAAAGATGGCCAACCGGTGCATTAAGTTACCCAAATCTCATTTCTTTGCAAAGTGACGGACACTATTTTTTTTTTAAAGATACTACACAAAGCATAAGTGGGTAATTAAGAACGAATTAAAGTCTCCTGTTAATATTAAAGCTGTAATATATTAACTGTGTGTTTGTCCTTACCTTTACTGGGAAATGATACGAGCAGAAGCTGAGGTGATCACGACCACACAGAGGGGGAAACTCAGAGCACATATGCATCTCCAAGTGCTGGAAGAAGTCATGATCCTAAAGACAGATGAGACAAATACTTATTTTAATAATATAATAACATACTCGGTTACTTACGTAATCTCGGTTCCCTGAGATATGGGAACGAGTACTGCGTCGCTAGACGCTATGGGGAAGAACTCCTTTTTCTCAGAGGACTAAAGCCTTTACAATCATGCAGTGTAAGTGCACGGCCATTGGTTCGTGCAGTGAATAAAAAAACGAGCGGAGCTGCACGAGCCTATGGCGACGAAGCCCGCCAGAATGGGCGGGGCCATCTGGCTATATAAGCTGGCATTTCGCCATAGGATCTCAGGTAAATTCGACTGAAGCGACATACCGAGTCGTGCAGCGTCATGGCACGGCAAGGAACGCAGTACTCGTTCCCGTATCTCAGGGAACCGAGGTTACCCAAGTAATCGAGTACGTTCCCTTTCGATACTTCACTCGTACTGCATCGCTAGACGCTATGGGGAATCAATACAATCCCGCCGTGTCATGAAAGAGGAACGACTGCCATGAACTGGCCTTGAGCATAAAAGGCTCAGAGGGACCAATTATACGCAGGGTGAGCCCTGCAGGAGGCAAGAGGCTGAACTCACTGAGGTCAGCCCAGCCTTGGATAATCGTTCCAATGGTTTTGTACAGCCTCAGCACTACTGAAAGGGCCAAGATCGTACCTGAAAAAACAGGCAATGCCTGAAGAATTAGACCGCCTTAGGCAGGCACGTATTCATTTAAGCAGATAGAATCCGAGCCTGCAAGGCAGGAATATCCAAGTTATATAACCTTGTGGAAGTGGACGGCGAGGCCCAGCCGGCTGCCGCACAAATATCTGCTATGGACACACCGCTAGACCACGCCCAGGAAGAGGCCACCCCCTGAGTGGAATGGGCTCTGACTCCTATGGGGCTCTGAAGACCCAGGGAAGAGTATGCTAGCACGATAGCGTCAACTAACCATTGAGAAATCCTCTGCTTTGTGACCGGGAACCCTTTGGTGCGGTCACCAAAGCATACAAAAAGTTGTTCCGACCGCCTGAACGGGGCGGAATGTTCCATGTAAATTTTCAGCACCCTAACCGGGCAGAAAAAGTTAAACTCCTGGTCCTCCTCAGAAGGAGGAAGTGCAGAGAGTAATAACCTAGGCTCTAAATGGGGTGTAGAACACCTTAGGAACGTTCCCATGTCTTGGTTTTAGGATGCCTTTGGAGTCATTAGGCCCAAACTCAAGACAGGCAGGACTTACCGAGAGAGTAAGCTCTTGTAGGTAGGACAATATCACCGATATGTCACATGAAACTGGGTCTTCGCCACGGGTTGTGCACCAGGCGGAAAAGACCGACCACTTAAGGGCATAGAGGCGTCTCTTAGACGGGGCTCTAGCCTGTGACATAGTATTCAGGATGCTCTCAGGGAGACCTACTGATTCCCATCGAGAGCCCAGAGGTGCAGAGCCCACAGCTCGGGCTGGGGGTGCCAAATCGTCCTGTTCGCCTGAGAGAGGGAAGGTCCTACCTCAGGGGAATGGGCCACGAGGCTGCTGTCAGCAGCTGAGACAGCTCTGAAACCCAAAACTGGTTCCTCCAGAGCGGAAGGACTCTGTGTCTGTGTTCCCTGACTCGTCTGATTACCTGAGGGATCAGAACGATCGGGGGAAAAGCATACAGGAGGAGGTTGGGCTAATCGTGGGCCAACGCGTCCTCGCTCTTTGAAAAATAAGTTGGGCAATGAGAGTTGTCTTTTGAGGC